TCCTGCCTTTATAATATTTGATTTCTTTGAGGAGAGTAGAAAATATGAAAACGTTTGGCAGAAATGTTCTCTTGTACATTTCAAGGTCAAACACCCAATTCTATTTTATTGCAACCAGATATTCTCAAGGTGCACCACTATGTACATGCTCTTTCCATGCCCTGCGTGTCTGAACCAGGCCCAAAACTAATTGTCATAAATGAATACGAAAAGCAGACCTTTTTAAAAAAAGAAAGAAAGAAAAAGAAGTAAACCTGTGGGGATCAAACCCTAGTGAAACTTCAGGAGGTAGGCTCCAATGTGGAAGCATAGTTTAAATCTGCACTGTCAATGCAGAAGGAGGTCATATCTTTGCTAAAGGGTTTTTATACTAAGGTAAAGTAAAGGTAGAGGTTCCCTTGCTCGAAAGCCAGTCGAGTCCGACTCTAGGGTTGCGGTGCTCATCTCCGCTTCAAAGCCGAAGAGCCAGCGCTGTCCGAAGACGTTTCCGTGGTCATGTGGCCGACATGACTAAACACGAAGGCGCACGGAACGCTGTTACCTTCCCACCAAAGTGGTACCTATTTATCTACTTGCAATTTCTTGCTTTCGAACTGCTAGGTTGGCAGGAGCTGGAACTAGAGACAGGAGCTCATTCCGTCATGCGGCAACTTGAGTCTCGAACTGCTGAACTACTGACCTTCCACAGCCTGCAGTTCAGCGTCTTAACCACTTGAGCCACCGCAGCTCCTTATGTACTTTTATACTAAGGTGTATGTAAATCCAGGGGCAGCTTCCTGATTAAATCAGCCCTATGTCAGGTTCAGTGACACCAAAAGACCCAACTTTAAGCACTGGATAACTTCTAGCCAATTATTTTCCTCAAAGACTCAAGGGAAAATGATGTTGTGTCTTCCAATTCTTTTCTTTTTGGCAATATTCAGAGGTAAAAAGTTCTTGTTCTTTCACAAAAAAATTAATATAGTTACCTTCAAAACCTAAATCTGAATCCGATCTCTTTGGAATTCCTTTCTTGCCAGGTGTCCTCTCAGAGGTCCAGCTGGTGGAGTCCGGAGGAGATGTCAAAAGGCCCGGAGAGTCCCTCCATCTCTCCTGTCGAGCCTCCGGGTTCAACTTTGGAGGCTCTGACATGAACTGGGTGAGGCAGGCTCCCGGGAAGATCCCAGAATGGGTGGCATTTATAAGGTATGATAGAAGCTTCCAATACTATTCTGGCTCAGTGCGAGGACGTTTCACCGTCTCCAGGGACAACCCTTCCAGCATGGTGTATCTTCAAATTGACAGCCTGAAACTTGAAGACTCGGCCATGTATTACTGTGCTACCCACAGTGAAACAAAGTGACTGTAAAGCCAGGCAAAAAACCCTCCCTTGTTTCTGCTCCTCTCTGGGACTGACTGAGCTAAAAGAGGAAATTAAAAAGAAAAAAGAAAAAAGACAGGCATACACCTTTGGCATTAATATTGATTCAGCTTGACTTCATTGATGTAAAAAGGTGGAAACTTTTGTGACACTGATGCAAACTCACAAGCACCACTATGTGCACCATGTCCTTAAGCTCAGAGATTTTCACAAGTAGCCAAGAGACCTGGTGATTTCTGGTGTCTTTGGAACATTTGATTTGCATGCACATATCAGAGCAGTACACGAGACACAGGCTGATTCTGTATTGGCTTTTCCCTCGGTTGTTTTAGCCAACCCACGTTGGAACAGAAATTCCCCTCTGCATTGCATGCTGCCACCGCTTCCTTTGGGCACTGGATTTTATGGTAGCCTCCACACTCCGTGTCACTTTCGCTTCCTTTGTTCATTGGACTTTATGGTACCTTCTACATAGATTTA